GGTTGCTGTTTTAATTTGGTTTGCACATAGTGAGAAATGGTTATAATAATTGTTGTTTAACAAATGTCTAGTTAATTTGTGAGCCATTCATATTGAGTATAATGTGTTGTTATTCTTTTATACAAGTGTGATATTATGCACATGGAATATTCTTTCCAAATTCATTAATGACTTTAAGTAGAGGTTTAGTTTTGTTAACGTTATCTCATGATTTATTTAAAACATAAGGATATAGTTTAAAACAATAATTGTAAATATCATTCATCCTAACAGCTTACTTGAAGGAATGTGGGGCAGCTTTTTAATGTTAACATCTCAAATTATGCAAACTGTAAACAATTCTGAAGTGGATTCCTGCTTTTCCTCATACAGAAAAGCTCATCTTGTACTCAGAATCAGGGAATACAAGATAAAATTGTTCTCTACTTTAAATTTTTGGCTTTATTTCTTTGAAATGATGAAACAAGTTAGAATGCTTTCTAACAACTTCGAAATATTAAAGTGCCCAGGGACAGGATAGGGATGATGTTTTGAAGGCAATAAATATTTCAGCTTCACATTTCAGTCTTTCTTCTTGGCTCCTTTGATCTGGCTTTGGTTTAGTTATCATGCCGCTCGAATGACTTCACACTGTCTTTCTTCCTCCCCACCCCAACACGGAGCGCTCGGCACAGATCCCAGATGTTGGGGCTCGCTCCTTGCAAGAGGTGGCCATGGTTTTCCTCAGGGCCTGCTGCGAAGAACTGCCTGTCAGGAAGGTGCTTTAACCACAGCTAAGATAGAGGCGTTTTGGTCTGGGAGATAATTTGCATAAAAAGCTGTTAACTAACTATCACCTCTATTAAAATGGTTGGGCATGAGAAGTAAAATTCTCTTTCTGTATTTCAGAAAACTCTCATTGCTACTGTAGTTTTTTTTTTTTTTCCTTAAAATAAGCATAAAATGGTAACCCCTTCTTTCTGCAAATATATGGTTCTTCAGGCCTTAATATTTATGTAGCTGGAAAAGTATTCGTTCTGAAAATGAAATTAGAGAGACTGGCCTGCAGGGTGTTTTTAGTGGTTTTCCCACCCAACTGTGAAATAGTGGTAGTCACAGACCTTGCGGTTCACTATAAATCAAACTGCTGCATCCGTGTGGAGTTTGGTGGAGAGTGAAACAAATTTGCCTCATAGGAATTAATGCTTTGGGGGCTGGGGGATGAGAATGGATGGAGAAGTATGTGCATGATGAACACAGAATGTAAATACCTAGGGGCAGTGTATGCGTCATGCAGGATCATCAGGATAAGGAGTTGGAGGATCAGATCAGATCACTGTGCCAAGGATCTCGGTTGCAGCAGGGAGCCTGGATGCCCTCCAATTACTCTGCTTTTCCATGTCTTTGCCCTGACTGGTCTGGATTCAGTGAGGAAAGTGATGAAAATAATGAAAAGGTAAATTTTAAAAAGGGACAGTATCCCAAAGCCTTCCTACTTTTATATCCTTTTGATGCTTTTTTTGGTGCTGGATGTTTCCAAAGCATTTTTGCTGTAAGGAAACTGTAGGAATGAATGCAGCTTTTGAAATATTCTTCATATGTGAACTGTATTAAATATTTAATTGTGAAAGATAGCTGCTAAATATTTACCACCAAACTGAAGTTTACTTCAGTCTTTTAATAGGAGAGGCATGTTAAACTTGCAGAATAATCATACTGAAAAGAGCAATGTGTTATTGTGCAACTTTGTTGTGATTCCACAGTGTTGGAAATTATATTTTTCGCCTTGTGTGCTGCAAAGGTGGCTCTGTTTCTGTGAGTTCTCTTAAAGTGCTGCTATAATGGTGGCACGTGAAACCTGTTAGCTCTCCTCAACCCCAAGAAACAGCCGTGGCGGAGGGCGCCTGTCCATAGACGTGCGCAGCTGTGGGGTACCCGGTGTCAGAGGGGGAGTTTGTAGGTTTTAACGCGACATGAAGAAGGGCGTAATGCCCCCAAAGCCACCCCTCCAGAATGTGTCTCTGTTATCGTAGCTCTGAGTTACAGTGCCTCATCAAAAAAGTTAGTGATGTCATCATATATCACTAGTTATTACACCAGGAGTCCTTTGGGCTATTTTGATCTTGGATTAGATGTTCCCCTTCTAATCTCCAATCACTGCGCTCCAAATGGATAGGAAACAGGTAAGTAACACTGATTTTATGTACGGGTGTAAACCCAGAGCGATATTAACCTGTGCAGGGTTTAGTTTGAGTGAGACCCTAGGGTGCTGCTGTAGCAGACATGATGCAGCATATAGAGAAATGTGCTCTTTGCTTTCTGGATAGCACAAAAGGTGTATTTAGTCCTAATGCATTTTTAAATTTCACCATCTTAGTATTTGCTGTTTCCTGTTCTTTGTCGCACTGGTCACTTAACTTGGTTATTAAATGCATCATTATCAAAGAAATTCCTTGCTCTCCTGCTCAGATTTCTCTGAATTGTAGCAACATGGGTCTCTTTGGACACTGTAAGGGGATTTTCACTGTTTCCAGAAATATTTAAAAACCTGGCAAAGAATTTGCATATTCAGGAATAAAAAAATGGTATTGTTTCTATAGGAAAATAATAAGGATTTTCATGTTCTAGTAATTCTCCATTTTGCTGAAACCCCCTCAAAGCAGCGGGCAGGGTGCTTGGGTTGGGATTTGGTAATGGGCTGTGAAACTGTTTGCAGAAGCTGTACATGTGTCCCTGCAGGAGGTACATGCTTTGTGCATGTGTGTGTTGATACATGTTCCTAAAGCGTTCCAATTTTTGAGGACTCCATGCACTGAGCTGGGGGCATTTCCTGCTCTGCTTTACTGTTAGTCACCTGTTGCTTTCTCCCAAGGAATGGGGAGAACCTTCTGGCCTTGAGAGCCCTGCAGAAAATAAGGCTGCCTTTGGAGGAACATCTTGAATTTATTTAACCTCTTCTGTAAATCACTGCATTGCTCTGTGTTTCATTAACTTCCCTAGCAAGGCTGTAGCGTCTTGCTGTGTTTAGTTGTTACCTCTTGGAAGATGTTTTGGGCAGCAAGGAAAATATTTACAATTAAGCATGAAGAGGAAATATTTAAGATGTTTATATTTTTCCATTTATCAGTACACTTCAGAGCGCCGCTTTCTGAAATTGCAATTCTGGACTTCACAGTCAACTTTCCCTGCGACGGTTTGTGCTGCGTATGATTGCTAATTCCCTGGCCGTGTCCTTTAGAAACTGAAACAAGAGGAATTTGCAGCTTTTAAAATTGGGGCCAAAGAGTAAATTCACCCTATATTTATATTCATGCCGGCTCAGCTGTAAGGGATTTAAGTGATGTAATTGCATTGTATTCGGCCGCACAACTAGTCCTACTGAAAAAAAAAAAATCTTCAAAGTGAATATTTAGTACTTCATGCAAGGCACATTGCTCAGTGTCTTGAGGGGAAAAAAAAAAGTGAAGCTTTTCTTATTTGTGCCACACAGCCCATTGTTGGTCGTGTTTTCTAAGCTTCTGTGTAAATCTCAAATGCATAAAAAGTAGCTGGAGTCAGCTCCCATGTCCACACATGAAGTCTTATTCCTGGGTCTAATGAGATGTTGTATCTATTCATGGGATTAAGTCTTTAGAAGAATAAAGGTGCATAAAATCAGATTCCCAAAAGTTTACCTCATAATAAAACAGAACAGAAAAGCTCTCAGGAAGAAGATGCCTGTGTTGGGAAGCTCCTCTTTCCACCCGATCGCAAAGGCCTTTGCTGCTGGACCTGGTGCATAACCGACTCCTCCGGCGCTCTGCATCCTTCCTGACTTTTGAAGTCTTTTCAGTGTATAAATTCTGAGAAAGGGCCAAGGATTTTTTTTTTTAAACTTGCAATTTTGGTGGTTTGGATCCTCTGTAATAGAAATTTAAATCCTAAATGATGGATCCTCTCTCAAAAGATGTGAAGAAAGGGGGCTGCAGAACCTGGACTTTTCTGTCCCGTGTGTGCCAGTGTCTTTGTTTCAGGCAGAAATAACTCCTGCTCGAAATTTATCGTGAGGTGCTTCCTCTACCTCTAAAATAGAAACGGCAGCCACAGGCCTGCCACAGTCTGCCTCTGCTGTTGCAAACAGTCGGTCGAGGCAACTCTGCACATCCTTGCATTTCAGTGTAGCTCTGCTCCCAGGAACCCACCTCTCCTAATAGAAACATGAGGTAGAAAGTCTGCAGCATTTGCTGATCATCTTCTGTGGGAAAAATCAAAGTTTCTTAAGTATTTACAAGCTATCAGATTTTTTTGTCAGTATGGTGACTGTCATTTTTTGCATATTTGTGTGTATGTAAGTATGTACATGTTACATGTGTATTAAAATCAATATTAGGATGAGTGTGAAAACCAAAAGCAATTCTTACATGTGTATGGACTTCAATCTGTCCCACAGCATGTGCTTTAATATGCACTGTCTTTGTATAAACTCTTGAAAATTTAACACGTGCCATTGTTCTAAGGGCTGAGTGGCTATTGCAGCGTCCTGAGTTTCAGTAGATGCAGAAGGTGCCACATGTCACATGTTGTGCTCATTGGCTTTGAGAGATGCATCAAGTGAATAATTTTCCTTCTTGTCTGAGTACAGGTGATATTGGAATTTTTTTTTGCTTTAATGAAACAGTGCTGTTACAATAAAAGAGGATTCTTCATCAAATTTTATTGGGAAAACAGGCTTTGAAGGGCTAGGTTAAAAACGGGGAGTAAACCCCTGAAGTTGCTGCAGCCTTCAAAGATGGTGCTTGTGCCATAAGATACGGCTGCTATGTTTAGGCTTGCTAAATCCCACACGAGAAAGTGAAAATAACTGGAGACTTCTATCCCCCTCTTCAAAGTATTGCTGAGGGAAGTTAGGCAGGAGCCAGGACAGGAAATGGAAATCTGAATACTATTTTAAACTGATAGGGTTAAAGGCCTTTCTTTTACACTGGCACACTTGTTCTTTTATTTGATACTTGAACTCTGAAAATTTTTCTGTGCCTTTCTAGGGAGAAGGAGGAGCAGCTGACTCGGGTGACAGAGGTACAGAGGCTGCAGGCCCAGCAGGCAGACGCTGCCCTGGAGGAGTTTAAGCGGCAGGTGGAGCTGAACTCAGAAAAAGTCTACGCTGAAATGAAAGAGCAGGTGAGGGGGTCACGATGCCAGCCTTTCTCCAACTCTGTCGCAGTGGGGTAGCATATTCTGATCTTATAATGCCAGAAACAGGCTTCACTTGCTAGTGCTACATCAAAATCCCGCACAACGCGGTGCCTTTTGCTCACGAGTCGGGAAGGGATGGTGGCAGCCGTTTCATCTCCCTAACAAAGGCAGCGTTGTCATTGTTACAGAGATATCCACACTTATCGCCCTGATTAGGGATTTTTTCAGGAGTGAGAGTCTAAAGTGTTAGTTTATACACCCCAATGGAACGATGCAGTGGATTTTCCATTCCGGCATGTGCTTCTCCCTACTCTTTTTGGAACAGCTCTACCTTCTGCTAATGAGGTTGGTGATGAGCGGGCGCAGAAGCAGGGCAGCCCCACTGTGGCTGCTGTCGGTCCCGTTCCAGTGACAGACAAATTCATTATTCTTACCCTGGAAATTGGAAATGATGATTAGGAATGAAGCTTGTTAAACTGCTAACGGAAGAAACAACAGTTAAACCACTGCCCAAGGGACTTGACAAAATGACTGAAATGACGAACAACAGGCAGCCAGGTGATCAAAAAGAAGGATGGATAGGGGAATATTTTCTTATCTTGTTCACAGAGTCAAAAATCTATATATGTATCTCAAGGTAGTGATTCTTCCTGACCATTTACTGAGTTTTGCCTTTCATAACGAAGTCTAGTTGTTGTCAGTAGGATGCTGTAATCTGATATTGTAATGAACAGCTAGAGCTACTGATAATGTGGTACTATTTAAATAAAATAAAAACTTCAGTTGCAAAGCTTCTCTGTGTCCTCTTCTGAAGAGATGGGAATGGAAACAACAGCAGATGTGACCTTGTCCCATTTGCTACTACTGAACATCAATAGAGCTCTCTAAAATAGTGGTTGTGTTTCTAATATCCTATGGAATGACTGTCTTGTCCTAGGGATTATCTTATATGGAGGATATATTTTATGGGAACAATAATGGGGATTAATAATTAATATATATAAGTTATTATTAATGAATGTAATCATTTAATGCATCTTGAAATGCAAGATGAGGTGTTAGATGGTTAGAAAGGTGTTTTTCCTATAAATTATTAAGAATTTATTAGTGATTAAAAAAAAAGGCAGAAGATGGAAGTAAACAGAACTACTGTGCTTGAAATTTTTAAGAAGAATAAAATATTTTGTCATACTTAACTAAGCAAATTCTCTTTTATTTTTTCATTCTTGAAGATTTATGTCTTATTTCAAATTCTTCAGCAGAAGTTAGGAATGTAGGGCATTACTGATATTTTTAAGACCTGCACATACAGCAATTTGGAAACAACAAAGCAAGAACAAGCTTGCAAAGCAGCTTCTGTTTTGCAGACTAGACCCGTGAGCGCAATAGAACAAAACCTTTCATAAATAACTCACTATTTTAAATTGAGTTTCCTACGTCTTATTCTGTTAGAATCTCCTCCAGTTTCCTCAAGATGGCTTAAAATTATATCTTGTTTCTACTCCAAAGGGCAGATGCTCTCATTCTTGAAAGAGTAACCGAGGTTTCATACACATGTATGTGCACATACTCACATAACTGCATAAAATTGCACAAAATAATTTGGAAAAATTACAAACTCAACTGTCATTTAAAGATTACTGTAAACTTGCTTTGAGAATACTGTTGTTTTCATGGAAATTCTCAGAATAAATTTTGTTGTACTGCAAGAATCAGACATGGAGTTGTTTTGTAAGGACTTGCATCCTAATAAATAGAAATAGTAATGTGCCTGGATAGATTGGTCATTCTTTATATTTTACTGATCCCCCAAGCCAGAATAACATTCCTTATGAGAATGGAAATAATACTGAACAATAGGAAAAGAGTTTGCTTTGGAAATATTTAAAATATATATATACATATCTCATAGTACAAGATTTTCTTAGGAAGTATCTGGTATAACAATATTTCTGTCAATATATACCTTAACCCTAATTTTCCAGATAATATTTTGGAAGTAAATCTCTGGTCATCCTTTACGTATAAGACCTTGACAGTAAGACCAAAGAGGTCTTCATTGCTTTGTCCTTTCTCCTTCTTTTTGCACAAACTCTTTTTAGATAAGTTGCCTATTACATAAGTTAGTAGCCGATTTAGGAAAATTCTGTTTTTTTGTAGTTACAGAGAATGTTCTACTTATAATACAAGATACTGTAGTAGCTATAGCAACACAGAATTCTGAACTATGCTATAAATATTAGGCTTCTGAAACCATTTCTTTGTGGTTAACTTAATTATGGAGATAAGTAGAATGGGGTCTGGCATTTTCAGTTCTTGTAATCAATATTTGATTCATTAGTTTGGCTCTCTGTTTTTTTTGTGCCATCTGCTTCTTATGTTGTCAAGCTTATTATTAAGAGTCAACTGATGCCCGTTGCTGGATGACCTGTATGTTTTTCACTAAGAGCTGTTTACTTTTCCAATAACTAGTGTACTTTTCCAATAATAACTAGCAAAAGGAGAAGCAATATACAGAAAATATTGTGGTATTTAGGCTCTTAATGTTTCTTGGTCTGGCAAATAATGAAGAGAAGCCTTTATTGTATTTATAAGAAGTGTATTTGATCTAACTATTAAAGCACAAATGTATAGAGTTAAAATATTTTTGCATGTTTTTTGTTTCATTTTTTAGAATGCTTTCCCTTAAAAACAAAATACACTGTTTAATGAAGTAATGATATCTTTATTGTGAAAGGAAAATATGCTTATGGAGCTGCAATTCAAGGAGGCTTGGAGTTGGGAGAAATTATTCATAAAAAATATTCACAGAATTCTTTTTTTCTTAATACCAGATAATAGATATGAGGTTCATGACCTACCAGAAGGTCACTGATGACTTGTTGCCCACTGTCCTGCACTTTCCCCCTTTTCTTCTTGGATAGCAACTCCTAGTCTTGCATCTTCTTCTCTTCCTGCAGTATTTTCCAATAAAATGCTTTTCCCACTGCAAGTGCTGCCTTTTCTCCCTGTTATCTGACTTAGAAGTGATGTCCAGACCGATTGGCAAAGACATCTGTAGAAGAGAGAGCGCTCCCTTAGGCCAAATAGGATTTTGGCTTGTGGTTCAGGAATTTATTGTGTTTCTTCTTTTGGTGCAGCAGATGGACTCGTGGCAGCGACGATTCTCTTGACAACTCCGTTCTTTTTCCTTGCCTATGTTTTTTGGGGTGATAGTTTATTTGCTACTTGTGTTGGGACCTACATCTAAAAGTTATTGATGAGTGTGCAGTGCAGTCCAGTACTGTGTCTGTGTTCCCCTAGAAATGTGCCTGATGTGCAGCTAACAGTTGTGCTTTTGATACAGAAGCCTTTGTTAATTGGGTTATGAAATTGCTGCCTTGATGCTGTATGCTGGAATCTGTGGGGCTCATTATTCATGGGTGATGACTATCTTCAGAGAACTTAACTTGCAGCCAAATTATTTTCTTTTAAGTTATTTTACTGATTTAATATAAACTTATTCTAAATGTGTAGATTGTACATTGACTCACACATTACCTTTTTTTTTTTTTTCAAACTTCCACAGGCAATGTATTTTTAAATGAAATAGATTTGAGTCTTAAGTATGTCTAGAAAAAAATATTCTGTTCATTTTGATATTCACCACTGTCAAGTGAAAGTCTAAGCCAATGCTTTGTAATGAGCAGAAGGATATAGGTGATAAGTATATCTGCAAGTTACTAATGATCTCGTATCTACTGAATATTCATTTTCACGCCATATAAATAATATTTAATTATTATTATTCTCAGTGAGTAATGTTCAGGTCTTTGATGGTTAGCAAACAACTGTAAAAATGTCTGAATGTTTGAAGCTATGCATTTTTTAAAAAATTAAGTATTCCCTTTCTTTTACTATGTAGATGGAAAAGGTAGAAGCAGATCTAAGCAGATCAAAATCTCTCCGGGAAAAGCAATCCAAAGAATTCTCATGGCAATTGGAAGACTTGAAGCAAAGATATGAGCAACAGGTCAGTTTGATGCTTTAGGTAGAGGGGAGAAGGGACTTTTTTTTTTTTTTTCTTCTCTTTTCATGCACCTGTAGGTCAGTTCCTATGACAATCTTAATCCTGTTCTCCCTCTGCATATTGCTGCTCTTCCCATTCTGTAAAGACTGAGTTTATACATATGCAGATTTGGGGGCAGGGACTAAATCTAAATAGGAAATATTTTTCCTTTCTCCTTGCAATCTGTTGTACATCAGAATGTTTCAAATTTTTCTCCCAAGCTTACAGGTGACAACACCTATTTTTATAATGACCAGATGAAAACATTTAGAGAGATTAGCTATTTTTCTTCCTGCTACAAGTTGGAAAGTGTTTTATTCCTTTTATCATTTTAAACAGGGAGAATGTTTCTATGTATGCTTGTTTTGGCCCACTGATACTGATTTTTTTGTTGTTGTTTTCTTTTTTTAATCATAATTGAAGGGTTGGGATACGTTCAGGAAACATTTGAGTGGAAACAAGAAACGTCAGTTCAGTAGTGTTGATGACTGCAGAGGGGACAAAAACAGAAATAGAAGCAGGCAAATTATTGCATGATATAGGCAGACAGCTGCAACAGCCCATCAAATCCTCACCCTACAGTACTGCTTTCTCATGGAAACTTAAAGCAGTGTCTCTGGTAACACCTGCTAAAGGTTGAAAATTTTTCTTGATCACTTCCTGAAGGACAGCAATGATATGGTTAGTTTGTAAGGTTAAAGTTAGCTCTTATCAGTGTTTTTGAGTTGATAGGAGTTTACATTTCCACGAGGGAAATGTGGTTTCGTTTCCTGTCCAAGTTTATCTTTCCTGCTGGTAAGAGGATGAAATGCTGCAGGCGGCTTATGATCCAGGGCGCGCCTTTCTCCGTCTGGAAGCCTCTTTCCAAGTAATCAAGGACTGGGATCACAAGATGCGGAGAGAGATTGTATCCCATGCTTGAGAGGAACAATGGTGT